CACAGGCATTATGACAATATCATGAATGAGTTACTGGCCCCATGACTGTGTACCATTTCCCAACCCTGACAGATTCTGATCTGTTTTAGCAGAGGACTTTAGAGCCCTAATGGCTCAATGGTTGGACTTGATGATCTTGGAGGTCCCTTCCAACCTAAAGGATTCTATGATTCTATGATTCTATTTCCACCTATCACAAAACCAGCAAATAAAGACTTGAAGCTTTTCTAACACACCTTGAACATAGTGACATGCTGTGTATAGCCCTCTTATCTAGCCATGAAAAGAAATTCTGAAAGTGGCACAAGTAGGTAGTAACAGTCACAAAAATATAATACTGCCTTTAAATTGGGTGAGGGTTGTGTGATGCCTCACTATATTTCTGGACGATGATCTCACATCTCACTGAATTACACAAACCAACTTTTAGTTACTTAACAGTGAATAAAATGGAGCTAATTCAGCTTGTAAAGAGAGAGATTTACTGTATTTATATAGAAACAAAAACTTAACTATATCTGTACTCAAGTACCACTTGTCACTTCACAGCACTGAAAACACCTTTTCCTACATGCTTTTTAATCTTTCATAATCCTTATAAACTAAAGAAGAAATATTTCCACTGTTTTTTGAGAAACAAAGTCACAGGGCAGCAACTTCAAAATCCAGAATAAGAGATTTGTTTTATTCATATTGAAATGAATTTTCCCCTATCACCAATGCAACTCAGTCTGCAAAGTTACTTCCCCAAATACTATTTGTCCACTGTTGACAAATGATGTTGATCTTGGAAGACTGACTTCAACATGCAATATCAATTGGAGCCACTTTTCACAGTTCCAGACACCACCTCAGCCACTATTTAACTGTAAAACAAGTTGTTTAACTCTTATGTCCAGAAAAACCTCTTCACAAATGAAGCAGCTATGCATTTTTATGGAAAGAAGTAAACATAATTTTACATTCTCTGGTCTTCAGGGGCTGTAAGTACATTCCCTCTTCAGATACCCACATGGTACATTCTCATTGTTTTTTAAATGGTAGATTTCCTGGCTGGGAAAATACCTGGAGCAGTTCCCATGGAAGCAGCCAGGCTGTCCTCCCTGGGGTGGCCTGCGTGGCCTTGGGTCTCAGCAGCAGGAGCCATGCAGCAGCACCAGTTGAGCAGGGTCCTGGCACAGTGGCCCAGCTGGTCCTGCAAAACCTCTCTCCCCATCCCTTTGCTGTCACTTTTTTTTTGGTCTGATTTTTGTCCTCTCAGACGATCTCCCAGCTTCTCCGTCCCAATTCTACCACAGTTGAAAGCCATCCTGCTTCAACCCAGCCTGCTGCCCAAGCACTCTCCAGAGAGGCCTTTAGTGGGACCTTCCTGCCTCCTCCCAGCTACCTCATTTCACCATTTTTTTGCCCTGGCAGCCCTGCCTGGCTCTGGCTGCCCATGCCACTCTGTGCCTAGCAGGGGCTGCTCCTGGCTGGGGGAGCCCAACTGCCACACAAGCCCTCTCCACCCAGCAGAGGAGCCTTGCTCCAGCTTTCAGCTGCCTCCCCATCCTCTTGCTCGTTCCTTTCCCCTACTGTGGTTCAGAGGATCCCAGTACAGCTGGTGCTGAGGCACAGGCAGATCACACAGGGGCTTGCTAGCAGAGAGCCCTCCTGTAGCAGATCGAGCCATGGCTTTTCTCCAGGGAAGCTTGTGGGGTTCAGGATTAGGACCTGGCAAGCACCTGGGCCGCAGGGAGGTGTCAGTGGGAATCAGGAAGCCATGAAGACAATGCTGAACACGCGTGGATCCGGCTGGTCACCCCGCCCGGCCCCTGCCTCTGCGCCCGCTCCCTTCCTGCGCTTCCTGGGCAGAGCTCCTTGTACTTGTCACTGCTGGGTTCCACCTCACCCATTCCAGACTCCAGCCCATCTGCTAAGATCATTTGGAACCCTATTCCCCCAAAGGCCTGCAATCTTCCCTGCTTGGGAGCATACACGTTTCTCTCCAAGTGAACTCTCTATTCCAGGGGACACTTCAAGAATTTCCCTGGGACTGAACAGCAATCCCAGGCTTAGGGCAGCAGTTTCCTCATGAGACTATCATGAGGGACTGTGTCAAACCTCTTCTTCAGGATACATTTATTCCTTCCCCTTTAACCACTCTGCTGCTTACCCAGAATGAGATTAGAATGACATGTCACAGCCTGTTCCCAGTAAACTTACACAGACCATGGGTATGATCTGTAAAATTGAGAGATCAGTGTGGTGCAACTTCATCTAGCACCCCAAAGGTGAGCTGCCTGGTTGGCAGTTCCAGAAGCCTGTCTTCTCTGGGAAGAGAGGTACAATATCTGCCCTCTTATGGGCTGCTGGAAAGCCCCTGGCCTGCAGGTGCCCCTGAAAATATCACCCATGGGGCCGAAATCACAATGTCTCATCCTTTGAATGCTCTTCAGTATGTTTTGCCAGGCTTGGTGAACTTGAACACATCCAGTTTTGTAAATATCCCCTGCTCTTCTCTTTCCCTTTTCTTGCCTGCAGTCCTCATGAAAACTGCTGGCACTAAGCATCTGAAAACAATTTGTCCTTTTTTTCAGTAAGTTCAAAGAAAATGAGACAATGATTATTTCACCTTTTTCTGTCCTTTCTACTTCTCAAGTTATTTTGTAATTGATTTCTGTGTGTTTTTCTATCTTAATCCTGATATATTAACAGAATCTTTTTCTGTGGACTTACTTACTTGTCCTTGCTGAATGAAATTGCTTTTGCACTGGGCCCTCTCCAGCTGTATCCCAGCCTGCTTGCAGTATTCTTGTTATTCTTGGAACTTTATTTCTGATTGTCTAATCATTAAAAAGCTCCTGATGCACCTGACAATGTCCCATCTTGTATTTAATGCAAGAGCTTTCTGTGGTGATTAGTACACCAGGGATCCTTTAATTCTCCATAAAAAATCATGCAAGTAAGTGATGATGGAGTAACAACGTGTGAACTAATAGCCTGGCATCTACTCTGTGACAACTGCCCCCATACCTGCTCTGACCCTGCAGTGAACCTGCAGCAGACAAACACTCCTCTCATGACAGGGTAAGCTTCCCTGCAGTGGCCATGAGCAGTTACACGCACGCTGCCAGTTCCCATGGGGCAGCTGCACCCTCAGCCACAGCCCACGGGCGCTCCCTCCTCCGCTTACCAGCAGCAGCCGCTCATAGCCTCACACCTCACTCTTCACAAGTGATCTGAAGGCTCCCTGCCCTCACTGATGTTTCCTGCTGGGATCCATCATCTTTTTCTGTAGCCACTATATCCTTCCTCTCCTTGAGGCAGTCAGCTCTAGATTTATAACCATTATTATCTCATGCACATTCTACCATTAGGTTTTCAGTAAGGTCCTGCTCATCAGATTTTAAATTCCTAGGTTATTATCTCCTTCAATCATCTAAACCACAAGGCTATTCCATGAGGATGCTGGCTGTCCCAAGACTTGTAGAAAGCATTCAGATGTAATATTTTTACAACAGCTATCCAGGTAACTGTGTTACCACCAGCCCTGTTTTTCAGATGCACCTAACAGCAGATAAGACAACACTAACAACCTGGGGTGGGGTACACAAAAAAGAAATCCTGGGACTGAGTCCAGACATCCTGAAAATTTATTAACAAACAGAACAACAAAAATCACATTCTGAACCTCTCTACCCCTTCAGGCTCAAGTGTTCAGCTAATCTCCTGAAAGTCACCGGCAGATCAACTGTGACTGCTGATACATTTTCTGCTTCTGCACAGAAAGCAAGCATAGAACCACAAAAATTTTGGCTCCAAGCAAGAAGTTGCCAGGCCAGATCAGAGGGGATGCTGAGACCTGCCCAACCATTCTGGGACAGGTAATAATCTGTGATTAAGAGGTAATTTTGTTTGTTTGTTTGTTTTTGTTTTGTCAATAAAAGTAGTGAGCAGGGCTCACACGAGCAGCATTTAGTTTCTTTATATGATTTCAGATGGAGCTCTGCACTAGTGTGCTGCTTCCTGAACAACCCTCTCAGACCACCC